TTTCAAAGATCAGCTCGAGAAGATAAAGCCAAATATTACAATAAAATGTGCAAAGATCTGGAATCAGAAAACCAAAAAGGAAGAACACACTCAGCATTTCTCAAGCTGGGGGAACTGAAGAAAAACATTCAAGCTTCAACTTTTGTTATTGAAAGATTCTCTGTGCAAATTTTGAATGATGCAGAAAGCATAAAGAGAAGATGGAAGGAATATGCATAGTCACTGTACCAAAAGGAAATGGTTAATGTTCAACCATTTCAAGAGGCAGCATATGATCAAGAGCCAATGATACTGAAGGAGGAAGTTCAAGGTGCATTGAAGGAATTGGCAAAGAACAAGGCACCAGGAATTGATGGAATGAAAATCGAAATCTTTCAAGAAATTGAGGCAGCACAAGAGGCATCACTCATCTCTGACAAGAAATTTGGAAGACAATTGTCTGGCTGACTGATTGTAAGAGATCCATATTTGTGCCCATTCCAAAGAGACGTGACCCAACAGATTGCGGAAATCATCGGACAATCTCTTTGATATCCCATGCGAGTAAAGTTTTACTAAAGGTAATACAGAAATGGCTACAATCATACATTCACAGAGAACTTCCAGAGGTTCAAGCCGGATTCAGAAGAGGCTGTGGATCGAGGGATCTCATTGCTGATGTCTGATGGATCTTGACTGAAAGCAGAGAATATCAGAAAGATGTTTACCTGTGCTTTATTGACTATGCAAAAGTTTTTGATTGTGTGGATCATGACAAGCTAGGAACAACATTGCAAAGTATGAGTATTCTGGAACACTTAATTGTGCTCATGAGGAATCTGTATCTGGACCAAGAGGCAGCTGTTTGAACAGAACGTGGGAACACCAACTGGTTTAAAATTAAGAAAGGTGTGTGACAAGATTGTATTCTTTCACCATACTTATTCAACCTATATGCTGAGCAAATAATCCGAAAAGGTGGGTTCTATGAAGAAAAACGTGGCATCAGGATTGGAGGAAGACTCATTAACGACTTGCGATATGCAGATGATACAACCTTGCTTGCTGAAAGTGAAGAGGACTTAAAACATTTACTGATGAAGATCAAAGAGCACAGCCTTC